CTGACATTACAGTTGAGTGTGTGAAGGCGGTCGAGTACAGTATCTACACCCTGGTCACCGTGTGTACCGAAGGATCAGTAATCAAGTGTGCTGTACCCGACACAGGCCTACTGTATCTCACCATTATCATTATGTATTAAGTTTCTCTCTGGTCTTCCCTACCCACGCCGCTCTCCACCCTCTCCTACCCACGTCAAGGCCTCCTCCCCCTCTCCTACCCACGTCAAGGCCTCCACCCTCTCCTACCCACGTCAAGCCTCCACCCCTCTCCTACCCACGTCAAGGCTCCTCCACCTTCTCCTACCCACGTCAAGCCCCTACCCAACGTCAAGGCACCCCCCTTATCTTCCTCCACCCCACAACACCAAGAACAAATGAACACAAATGAACAACTATTAACACGGCCTAAACACGGAAAAACTAAACAGTGTTATTTTCCTGTTGCACTGAACGGTTTTTCTTTCATCTTTGTGTTATAATAAACTTCACGAAGGTAATTTACTGTTAACAAAATAATTGAATCATTGACCCGCTTCACGGTGTTGGGTAAGTGAGCTCCTTCAGTGTTTGTCTGTACGAATCTGGGGAGTGAGTCACCTGATTGGCTTAGAATATCAACCAAGTCACCTGATTGGCTGAGAATATCAACCAAGTCACCTGATTGGTCTTATAATATCAACCAAGTCACCTGATTGGCTTAGAATATCAACCAAGTCACCTGATTGGCTTAGAATATCAACCAAGTCACCTGATTGGCTTAGAATATCAACCAAGTCACCTGATTGGTCTTATAATATCAACCAAGTCACCTGATTGGTTTATATCTTCTACCACGGAAAACGAGTCATTTGATTGGCTTATTTTTTCAACCCAAGACACCTGATTGGCTTATATACACGAGTTTATAACCAATCACAGTACCGTAAAATAAAGTCGAGAAAAACCGTAAGTAAAAACTCTTGATAAACTTGGGAATTTGTTTTGTGGGATAGAAAGTTGAGGTCGTGTGTGTGTGTTTGTGTGTGTGTGTGTATATGAATGTGCTGTATGTATGTGTGTGTGTATATGTTGTGTGTGTGTGTGTGTAATAAACAGTCAGGGTCATCACCACACTTGACACAGGTGTTGGTCACAGGTCAAAGGTCACCACAGGTCCTCACACAAGCTCCGGGAGTCACGTACGGCTAGAGACAGCACGTCATCCTGATGTCATTGGTCAGAGTGAGTGTGTGTGTGAATTCCTATTTCTAAACCAAAACTCGGCGAGCCAATAACAACACAGTCAGGTCAACCAATTACAACACAGTCAGGTCAACCAATCACAACACAGGCAGGTCAACCAATCACAACAGTCAGGTCAACCAATCACAACACAGGCAGGTCAACCAATCACAACACAGTCAGGTCAACCAATCACAACACGGTCAGGTCAACCAATCACAACACAGGCAGGTCAAATTAGGTCGATGTTGGTTAGGTCAGATTAGATTAGCAAAGGTCAGGATGCTTGGGTTAGGTTGAGTTACGGAGACGAAAAAAGAATTCCTAAACTACCATAACGTCATGCACGCCAACCAATCACAGCTTGGATGACGTGCGCCCTCTATCCGCATGCGGCAGGGGAAGCGGGTATTCGGAACGTTGCTGGCGGTTATGAGGGGAGGTTCAGCCCAGCCTGGTCCAGCGGCGGTGCAGAAAAACCCACGCTAGAGACCTGATAACCCATGAATTATACCGCTGGCCCTCCTGTACACTGGCCCACACCCTTCCTGTGTACCGCTGGCCCACATCTCCCCACATGCACTGCTGGCCCACACCTCACTGCGCACCCCTGCCCACACCCTTCCTGTGTACCGCTGCCCACATCTCCCCATGCACTGCTGGCCCACACCTCACTGCGCACCCCTGGCCCACACCCTTCCTGTGTACCGCTATGTACACTTTACACATTCCAACTCTCCGAAATCTACAAGAAGGTCACTGAGTGTAGCCGGAAGCCACGATTACCACACAGTGTATCCTGGTGTGTGGTTGGTGGGGTGTGTGGTTGGGTTATCTTAGGATAGATTAAGTTAAGTTAGGTTAGGTTAGGTTATTCAGCCGATAAATGAATAATGTCTCACACCTAACCTAACCTAACCTATACACAACATTTCCACGAGTATTTGACACACTGCCTGACCTAGTGTAAGTCAAGTCTCATTCTCAACAGGTAAAAGGCTTGGGTTTGGATTGGGTTGTTTGGGTCAGTCAGTCAGTGATTCCTTGCAACAATCAACTTAACGTCAATTGCAACATTTTATCTTCCCACGACAATTATCAACTCTCTCTCTCTCTCTCTCTCTCTCTCTCTCTGCAAGCACACACACATTCTTGCCACGTAGCTACTTAGTGGGTCAGTAGCAGCGGAGCGGATATCCCTTACCACAAACACTTGATCCCAGGAAATGTAACATAGCCAACCTAACCTAACCCAACTTAACCCGACCCAGCCAACCCAACTTTAACTATACGGATTTAAGTTGGATAAGTTTAGGTTTAGGAGGGAGATAGGAAGGAACTGGTTCACTAATAGGGTGGTGGACGAGTGGAACAAGCTTAGCAACTTTGTAGTAAGTGCTGGAACGCTGGAAATTTTTAAAAGGAGGCTAGATAGATTCATGGATGATAGAGAGTGGTAGTAACTCTCGACAGGAGCTGCCATGCACAGGCCAACCGGCCTATTGCAGACTCCTTGTGTTCTTATGTTAACTGAACCAGGCCCAACTCAACCTATCAACCCAACTTAACCTAACCCACATTCCAGTCCTCACCTGCCAACCAGAGACACACGAAGGACAGTATCTAGTTCTCACGCCGACAACTTTTTCACCAGTTGTCTGACGGGGCCCTGTTGAGGTGAGGGTCACACACACACCGCATCACCTCATTAACGTGCCACACCTTCCACAATATATACTACACCACAGCACCATACACCTCACCACCACACAGTCAAACACCACAACCACACCACAGTCAACATTACCTTCACACCAAACCACACCTGACAGCCACACCTCACCTGTACATCTTACACCCAGCGGTTGTCTTGTTACGAGGATTAAGTCACATTACAACAGACGTAACACAGAGATGTATATATAAGTCAAGCCACAACACTATGGTAATGTAAACTGATTGTCTACTTACAGTGACGCTGTAATTAGTAGCCAGGCTGTGTCAATGTCAAACTCTCTATTATTATTAGTAATGTCAAACTCTAATATTGTGTGTGTGTGTGTGTGTGGAAAGCTCTGTGTGTGTGTGTGTGTTGCTTGTGTGTGCAGGCTTCGTGTGTGTGTGTGTGGGCTCTGTGTGTGTGTGTGTGTAGGCTCTGTGTGTGTGTGTAGGCTCTGTGTGTGTGTGTGTGTGTGTGCAAGGCAGTGTTTGTGGTGCTACTAGCTCTACTCTTCTAGGTTTGATTTCTCTCTAGAACTTGAATGAAACCCTGTAGTTCACACACACACACTTGCCTCACATACACACATACATAAACACACACACACACACACACACACCTCACATACATACACACACACACACACACACACACTCACACACACACTTACTCCATACATACACACACACACACACACACACTTATTCACACCATAAGCTTGTACCCCCCACACACACTTTCACCCACTAAAACACTATGGGAGAGAGAGAGATGACTCGTAAACACACCAGGTAATTATGTGAAGTCATTCAGGTGTACTGAGCTGAAGAACAGAGTTGGGATTAACAGTAATACACAATACAATAAAATACACCAAGAATACAACATACAAGAGACAAAGTATTACACATTAGAGCTGAATTCCTTTTAAAATCCAACTTTAACGACCATCATAAATAGAAATAAATATACAAATACTAAAACAATAATAATTAAATAAAATAAAACAGAGTAAAAATAATTAAGTAAAATAAAGTAAAAATAAATAAATATTAAGTAAAAATAAGTTTAAAAATAAGAGTAAAAATAATTAAAATCAAAATAAAAAATTACCTGAGGTTAATTAGGTAAATATTAAATAAAGTAACAATAAAGTAAATGATCCTACGAAAAAGTACCTCGACATGATGACAACTTTACTTAAATGGTCATTGTAAGTGTCAAGCGATCGGCAGTTTGGAGAGGTTCAGTATTTTATAAGTGCAATTAAGTGTAAAGTATCTATGCGTATTTAAGCACAGTAACTTAAAACATATAAAAAGTGTAGCGGTGAAACATTTAAGTGGAAAATATACTTGTAAGTGATTTCTGTAAATATATTTTAAGTAAAGTGATATACTTATGAACATGTAAGTTTCAGTAAAGTGATGTACGATACTTATATGGGTTAAGTTCACGCTAGATACTTATAAACACACTTAAGACTAAAGAATGTATTTAAGTGTAAAGTGCTTGGCGTTTAAGTGGTGATAGGCCTAACAAATGGCGTGTAACCGGTCACTAGTTTAGGCCTATCTCACTGCCCTAGGCCTATACTTTTTTCATCATACCTAACAAGAGAAAATTTGGTTAGTAAATTATCTACTTTTGTCGAAACTAAAATCATTACTTTATTTTTTGAAGTAAATTTAAAACAATGTAATAAAACTCGGAGTTAATAATTTATAAGTGAAGATTCTTACTTTATGGATAAATAAGTAAATAGTTTTGTTAAGTAAGGGACCGCTCTACTTAAACACTTATATTTAACGGGGTGACCTTACTTAAAACAATTACCCACAAGTTCTATACAGTAGTCAACTTACTTACAACACTCCAATACTGTTTTATAAGTTGTCTCTCCGTGGTATCGTAAAGTAACACTACAGAGAATTACTTACAATCATTCGCCTCTCAGACAGCTGGTAGTAATTTCAACGCAGGTAAGCTAGTCATCACTACCCCCAAAAGTTGTTTTATAAGTAACATTCTTTAAATATAACCTCATTTAAGTACTCACCGGTGTTAAGTGTCGTTAAGAAGTGATGAGGAACACACACACACACTTTAAGAGGTTTTAAAATCCACTTATTTCTTTTTAGAGAGAGCGAGAGAGTTTCTAGAGGACAGAAGACGTCACACCCTCACCCGTCACTGTCTAGAGCCCAACTGAGGTCGAGTCCACCTGGCCAGCCCTCACCCACCAAACTACAATTTTCCGGTCCATTAATTAACTGTTTTCTTTATAACTAACATATAGATAAAAATAATATCTATATGGTGTATTAAATTAGTATATTAACAACACCCGGGTAATATTATAATAGAAAAATAATGCATAAGGGGTGAATAGTTGTGTTGAAAGCGTAAATAAAATCTCTCCAAATTCATACATGGTAAGAGACGGTGTTGCCTTCTCTGGCGTTCAAGGCTTCGTCAGACGCTTGCTTCCTCTTAATGACAAATTCAACAAGTGATCTCGCCTTCACTCAACACCATGCCGCTTACTAATCACATTTAATGGTTATCTCAGCTGCAACAACACAAACCAAGGCGCACATCTTCCCTGCCGACCAACATTACCACACACCCGCTATAACAAGTGCGCGCGCTTTCACAAATTAATTAAACTCCACAAAAACTATACCGCAGGTGTGACAGTTTATTTATACAGCTCATCTGAACTAATATAATCTATATTAACCGTGGGAATCAGAGAAAAGAACCTTACACTAAAACAATGTAATAATAATAATAATAATAATAATAATAATAATAGTAATAATAATAATAATAATAATAATAATAATAATAATAATAATAATAATAATAATAATAATAATAATAATAATAATAATAACAAGACTCTGTAGCGCCTGGACCCCCAACTTCTTCCAGCTTGGCATAACGCAAAAAGCTTCTCTCCTTAGTTATTATTTACTATCCTTTATTTATTGGGTTCATATTGATTTTTTTTAACATTTACAGCATTACTTATTAGAAGTATATATGTATGTATGTATATTAAACATACATACAGTAAAAAGAAAACACTGAAGAGGAAGGCATTAGCGACTCCATAACTCTTCTCCTCTGAGTTATGTTGCAACAGGTAAGTTCCATTTTTTGCATCAGTTCTTTGTATGTAAAGTTTCATATCATAATTATCTACATATTAAACTATTGGCTCTTCTACACTGCACTAAAGACATGATTAAGTGCCTGTTTCCTGGTGAGTCGGACCCATAGTTGACGCCACCTTGGATAGATAGATAGATAAAGATTGACTGAGATAGATAAATATGGATAAATACGGTAGATAAGGTAGCAAAGAGAGATCCGGCAAGGGGAGTTCATTTACCTCACCTGTACTATTGATCCTTAGGTTAAGTAATCGATTCCCTCACACCTGTCCCTCACCTGTCCTACCCCTCACTCCCTCCCCTCCCCTCCCTCCCCTCCCCTCACCACAACCCCTCTATCACACCTCACTGCAAGACCAATTTCTATACATAAACTGGAAGAAACAAGAACGTGGAAGACAATTAACTTGACACAATAAAATGTTAAGTGAAGCAACAAGACTATTAACGAGATATAAGTCAACGTCTTATACAAATACTTATATGATTATCGAGAAACGTGGAAAATAATTCACATGACGAAATGGGTAATTATACTTGAAGATATGATAATTAACAACACTAATGAGCACAACGATAATTACAGGATTAATTTATTTATATGCTAATGCTGAAAAATGCCTAAATCATTTATATAATTTAATTAAACATACACTTAAAATTATGTTTATATTAACGATATATTCGCTAAATAAACACAAGTAAATTAATTATAGAATAAACTAATTAAAAAACAAATTACCGAATATTCCACAAAATCTCAAATAAATTGTTAAGACTAAAATTATGTGTCCATCATGAACTTTCCGTCAAGGGTAACTAAATAAAGTGGCTTTGTTATTGTATATATTGTGTGTTGGTGATTGTTGGTGATTGTGTGAGGTTTCAAGGCGACTCTCTCTCTCTCTCACTCCTTCACGGTGGTGTGTCTCTCAGGCCGTGTTTCCTGTCGAGATATATACAACAATTATCTAACGTCCTGACCATGAAGAAATTTCCCGCCAAATAAATAAAATGAAACTTTCGCGCTAAGTCTATCAATATTCCGAGGGAGTTAATAAATAAATAAACTTGGCGCCAAAAACTCCACGGGATTTTATCGCCAAATTAAACAAGTTAAATACTGTATATAAAAAAAAAAACATGGCGTTAAATTATCTCAGGAAATTCCCCTCAAACAAAAAAATAATAAGACTGCCTCCAGAAGTGTGATGGAATTTCCTGCCTCCCTCAAAAAATATTACATAACAACTAGCGATTGAATTCTAAGGAAAACTCCCGCTCAAAATAAATAAATAAGTAACTCCATAATTAGTCCATGGATAAATAATTGTCACGTTATAATGTTTTGTATCCGGGAAGGGCTGAAGGCATTTATGTGGCATTGAAACCATTGAAATCGTCTTGACAGTCGAGTTGAAATCCACTCAAGCTCTAACACACCTGAGAGAGCTTGTTATGTTTACCTGTGAGACTGAAGGACCGGGAGAGGAGGTGATGCTCTAGACACAGTTCACGGCCACTGCTTCTCTTGGTCTGTCTGTATGGGAAAGAGGAAGGAAAATGGAGGGATAGAATAAGAGAGACGGGGAGAAGAGAGAATAGAGAGGGGGGAGGAGATGAGAATATGGACAGAGAGAGAGAGAGAGAGAGAGAGAGAGAGAATAAAGCTTTCTACCAACGTACCGTAATTGTAAGAAAGCAACAAATATTAAACACACAAGTAGCCCTCATTAAAACACCACAGAAACAAACAAACAAACAAAGACTTCACTAAATCCAAACATCAGAAAATATACAAAGATAAAATGTTAATAAATACGAACGAATCAAAGTAAATACATACATACATACATACATACATACATACATACATACATACATACATACATACATACATACGGAGAAGTTTTATTGGTATAGTTGTCTTATTATTTCTTATCATATTTTCTTGTTTCTTAATCTACACCTCATTTTCTTCTTCTCCTTCTTCTTAATAATTACTGCCGCACGCCATTCCCTCGTTCCAGAGGTGACTGCTTTCAAACTGATTGTGCTTGTACACTCACGAACAAGAGACCCTTAACATGAGTGGGTGAGGGACTCTGAACTACTGGAACGACTCACACACACACACACACACACACACACACACACACACACACACACACACACACACACACACACACCCTCTCTCTCTCTCTCTCTCTCTCTCTCTCTCTCTCTCTCTCTCTCTCACACACACTTGGATCACAACCAATCACACTGAACCTGTGAGAACCTGAACTAACCACCTGTACCCCCCTCCCCGTGTCGTGTTCTTCATCACCACGCTTAATACCTTGACACCATCAGAGTGGACACGCAACAAGGGAACTACATTACACACCTCTCATTATACACCTGCGTTACAAAACTGTCATTACAAACCTGAATTACACACCTGCATTATACACTTCTTATTACACACCTCCATTACATACCTCATTACACGCCTGCATTACACACCTGTACTACACACCTGCACTACAAACCTGTACTACACACCTGCACTACACACCTGCATAACAAACCTGCACTACACCTGTTATGTGGCGTTACAACAGCGTCACTGAGGCGAACAAATATGACAAAGTTGTTCTTATAAATGATTGAGAGTTATGGAGTCATGATGATTCTGGAGTCGTCAAATTTCCTCGACGATAAAGGGATATTTTATCTCCCCCTCCCAGCTATAGTTAAGGTAGAGTCTCAGTGTTAATTTTGTCTCCTTCATAACTGATGCTAAATGAACGTAGCTAGTTAATGGAAATAGTTATAAACCCGTACTGTACTGGATCTCTCTCTCTCTCTCTATTGAAGAAAATCACAGCGTTAACCAAATACAATATTTAACATAGCGTGCTAGTAATGATAGCGTCAGGGTAGAGTCTCCAAGCAGTATTACTACCATTTCAGTACATCATTCATATTATAAGTTGCATACACTCACACGTCACCAGTTACGGGGAGAATAACACCTTTGGGAACATTGATGGCTTCTGGGACCAAGGTGGCAGAGTGTATTATAGCAACAAGTCAAGGGTAAATAGAGTGGTCTGTGTGTGTGTGTGTGTGTGTGTGTGGGTGTGTGTGTGGGTGTGTGTGTGTGTGTGTGTGTGTGTGTGTGTGTGTGTGTGAAACGCCATTGCACAGCAGCCTCCAAGAATGGTCCTGCTCACACACACACACACACACACACACACACACACACACACACACACACACACACACTTCCATAATCCTATAATCCGCCACCAGCATCTATAATCAACCTTCTATAATCCCCAACACCTCACAGATTATACTCACTATGTATAATAGGGTAGAGAGATGTATAATTTATAAGGTGTGTGTGTGTGTGTGTGTGTGTGTGTGTGTGTGTGTGTGTGTGTGTGTGTGTGTGTGTGTGTGTGTGTGTGTGTGTGTGTGTGTGTGTGTGTGTGTGTGTGTGTGTGTGTGTATGTGTGGGTGTGTGTGTGTGTGTGTGTGTGTGTGTGTGTGTGTGTGTGTGTGTGTGTATGTGGGTGTGTGTGTGGGTGTGTGTGTGTGTTTACCCTATTGTTTCACTGTCTACCTGTCACACTACCTCACCTGTCTTCTGTTACTGTCAGCGCAAGACAGATAGAGAGACAGACAGACACAGAGACAGACATACAGACAAGTGGTAGACAGACAGACATAAACAGACTAGCCATAATAATAAACGACTTTCATTAGTAACGTGACTCCGGTTAATCGATACCAACCAATAAGAATCTATATACCGGACACCTCAATTATCCGACATCTCTCACACCCTATTATCCGAACACTTCCATTATCCAGTGACCTTATTATCCGAACACTTTAATTATCCGACAATTCTGTTATCCAGAAACACGGTACAGTACAGGTAAACACGGTACAGTACAGGTAAACACAGTACCAAGGTACGCAGTACAGTACGAAGTAAACAAATACCAGATAGCTTAATGCAAGTACGGTAAACACGGTACAGTAC